TCTATCACAATAATGTTACAGTTTCAACTATTCATCATAGAATTTCTCTAACTAAAAGATGCTAAAAGTTCTAAAAAGAGGAATCTTAGAGCACATGTTCTGAGGGGACAGAGACAAGGTATGTCTGGGTGTGTATGTATGTAAAACAAAAGCTGTCCATTTCATAAAGGATTACCTTAACTGAACCAAATGAAATTGATTAAGAGAAAAATAGCATTTATGTAACCTCCTAGACATCAGGATTTGCTTCTACAAATATTATAGCTGAATTTCCTTCTTAAAACTAAAAGCCAAAACAAACCAAAATGACCCACAAACAAATAAACAAAACAAACAAAAACCACCAAAACAAAACCAAAACACCCCCAACCTCTACCAATCAAAAATCACCACCACCACCACCAAAAAAAATCTCATCAACAAAAAAACCCCGTACAACAAACCACAGAACCAAACAGCTGTGCATGTTATTTTAAGATAGCTGAAAAAACCTAGTAAAATCAAGAGTCAGATAAGTCCTGGTCTAGACTCTGGACTGGTCTGTCCCTGGCAGAAATACACACTTAAGAGAATAATATTTTAAAGAGGGGTTCTGATAGAGAAGGTAGAAAGCCATTTAATTTTAATGTTCAACAGGGGCAGCCACAGTATTTTATAGCAGGCACAAACCATCTGTTTCCATCATACTGCAAACATAGATTCTGAACCAAAAAGTATCATGATACAAAAATAAAAGCAAGGACAAAACTTGTAAAATTTCCTCAGCATATGCAGGTTCATCCAAAAGGATGAGGGTATCTAGAAGAAAGTACCAACTAAATTTTGTACCTAAACATAGCTAACAAACAAATGCAAAAATTAAGTCAGTTTTCTTCATTACCTTCCCAGTTTCTGTTACACCTATTCCCTTTGTGAGATTACATTTACTCACTTTACATCACATACATGGAGTGGTAAAAGCCCCACAGAAAATTGCAGCTCAAATAATAGCAAGAGAAACAAATTGATTGAAGAAGAAATGCAGAGTTGAAGAAGGTAAAGGAAGAAAAGTACCAAAAACCCTCCTACTTAAGCTCTTCACCCTATTTCTAAATCACATTGGATAGAGAAAATATAAAGAGTTGTCTGCGCTTAAAGGTGTACAACACTGATGAGCAGGAAAGAGAATGGGAAGGTAACAGATTATTCCTTCTGTGTTAAAACAGCAGACTGCTCAGTTACAATCTTGCCTTGCCAGTGTTACCACGGTAGATAGCTTAAGAGCAGCATTACCCACAAAGACATGAGAAGTCATGTTCAGTGTAAGTATACTTACTGGCTGGAGGTAGGACAGTACATAGAAGACAATCAAGTTATCCAAAAAGTAAAGAAAGGCAGGAACTGACCATTTCATGGAATTGCATATATTCTTCCAGGAAAAACATTCAGAGAGATGATCCATACAACCCTTTTCTGAAAGGAAAATAAATCAGTAAGAAAGATATCATTCCTATTATTGAAAGCCCATTCCCTTGTAACAGAATGGGTACCACTGTCCTCTTCTGAGGAACACCATTAGACTGAACCCTTGGGTTCCACAGTTCTCTGCCAACACAGGAACCTGTGTTCCAGGACAGAACACAGAGCTGGAGCAACAACCCTGTGTGGTGCTCACCTCCTTGCTTCAGCAGAGAAAACGTCACAGAACCTGTTACATCCATCACAGTGTTTGTTCACTGGGAGCAAAAATTCCATTGTCAACCATTCTTTGAGGGCCAAAAAGCACCCCAGAGGCCCTACACAACAGTGACATCCTTACTGGGTGTGACTTCCTGTTGATTATTGATCAAATCTACAACAGGAACAATGACATAGACAGTGGATTCCTTCATAGAGCACCCAAAGGTCAGCCAGTAAAGTCAGAAGTACAAAATAAACCAGAATTCAGTATTTGCAGACCACAGCACATGATCTGGGTATAAAGAGAACATAGAGGAAGAAAAGAAGGAAGAAAGGACAAAGCACAAAGAATGATATTTACTTAGGTATTCAGGACACAAACTTTAGGAGGAAAACTGTAATAAACTTTAGACTACTCCACAGCTGATGCCAAAAGTACTTTGTTAACATAGATTTAAAACTACCCAATGATATCTAATCCTCTCCTGAAGCACCGACACATTGAGTTCAGCAAAACTCAAACATCTGGATTTTAAGAAAGAAAGAAAACATGCAGTCAGCAGTAGGCAATGATGGCAAACACTGATTGAATATATTTACTATCTTAGGTAAGTCTGTACTAAATGGGGAAGGTGAAAATTTTATCAGTTTGCCAGAGCCATGACTGTTTCCTGGAGAAGTAGACAAAACCAACAGTTCAATTTAACATGAACCTCCACTGCCTGATGCCCTCTCCCAATTCAAATATTTGTTCTGTACATTTTGAAATGCTATTAAGTTACTCTCATTGTTTTTACATTAGGACAGAAAAGAAAGAAAAAACAAAAATCACCTGCAATGCAAAACTTGTGGCAAGTGGCAAGTGTCATCTATTGTTAAAAAAAAGTGTTTGTAGGACAGCAAATCTTAAAAAGTAAACACATTTCAGTTATTTAAAATGTAGGTACTTACCTTTTTTCCTATTCCAGAGTGCCAACACTACACATAGGACCAGTTTTACTACTTCAGAACACATGTTCACTGTCGTAGGAAGATAATCATACTTGTTATCTGTGGGATCCAGCAAATCAAAGAGTACACAATCAGTTTCTGTCTCCTGCATTCGTAATTTGAGCAAGAATCTATTTTAAACATTACAATCATAATTTTAGTCATAAAAGGCTTTGTCAGAACTTCAGTTATAAATGTTTCAAAGTTTATGACATACAACTTCCTGAACAGCCTCTTTTCTGAGTTGAAATCATTCCTCATTCGGTCCCAGTTTCCAGCAGAACTTTTTTGGAAGAACTTAAGAACGCGGCTGTTTTAAAAACAAATTACAATGGGAAGGCTTTCCCCAAAGACCAATATAGTATTTTTTAACCTCCACAAAAGATAGCTTCCACGATGACATAATCTTTTAGAACTGGCAATAGCAGCCAGTTTCAGCACTTTATCCAGTAGGATACCACTTCTCTTCTAAGCCTGTTGCAAGGAAAACATTTCAATCAAATTATGTACTGCCAAGAATGCTTACACAACAAGGTCATCTTTGAAGAGTTAGCTATGAAATAATTCACCTGCCTCATCTTTTAAAGGCAGACCATACACCTTGCAACCCAAGTTACACCTTTATGGTAGTCCACAGGCTAGACAGAATTTTTCCAGTGCAGAAACACATCCCTATAAATATAATAGGATGTTTATGCAAATTAGGCTTTTTGGGTATGTTTTAGCCCAAATATCAACACTTTCTTATTCAAGGTTCATCATGGGTATTGCCCAACTCTACCTTCATTGGCAGAATACTTCATCAGGAGGATTCGACTTGAACCCAATGCAATGAACACTCCTCCAAGCAGAAAGGTCTGGCTGGTTGTCTTGGAGCAAAGGGCAAGTCGACTACACCACTCCAACTTCATCCTGCTGCCTCACCGTCAGTGCCCTTTGGATGGCAGGATAAAAATCCGCTGTAAACAGTACTTCCAGAAACTGGTTACATGAGCCAATCTAAGTGTGTTTTACTTGCTTTGTGATATACAAAGATGCTTACATCATAGAACAAGCCATGATCTTGTTCTACAACTATCGTTTTCTTACTTAAAAAAAAATCGAGTTCAACCTGTGACCGAACACTGCCATGTCAATTAGCCCATGGCAACAAGTGCCACGCCATCTTTCCTTAAAACACCTCCTGGGATGGTGACTCCATCACCTCCAATTCCAACACATAATCATCCCTTCTGTGAATAAATTCTTCCTGATGTCCAACCTAAACCTCCTGTAGCAGAGGTTAATACTGCGTCCTCTTGTCCTGCTGCTGGTTGCCTGGGAGAAGAGGCTGACCCACCTGGCTACACCCTCCTTTCAGGTAGAGAGCGATAAGGTCACCCCTGAGAGAAGGATGTGTTACAAGGACCATCGAAGGGGGTGAAACGATACACAGGGACTCTGAGGGTGGCACAAGGAGGCTGCTCCCTGAGAAGTCCGCAACTACGGCATACAGACTAGCTAAAAGGATTAAATATTTCACATGCTGATTTTTCTTTAATATATTTTTCAAGTGGTCTTGCTCCTAATCCCAGCAAGTACAAACGCTACAGCAGCAGAGCGAGACCAACCCCTTGGGGCTGACCTGGCGCCGGCTCGTTCCCAGCGGCGGGGGAGGCACAGGGCAGCCTAAGCCAAGCACCGGAGCCGCGTCCTTCGCCTCCAGCGCCACCGTTACTCGCCCAACCCGTTAACGGGCCCCGGGCCCCCAACAGCCGGCCGAGGGAGGAGCGGGGAGGGAGAACCCCTCTGGACCAGATGCGAGCTGGGCTCCGTGCCACGGTGACGGTCCGTCCCATACCGGCAGGGCGGCCGGAGCGCGGCTAACCGGACCGGGAGGACACCCACCTCGCCACCCCCTCCGCAGCGGAGGAGGAACAGTCGCCGGGCTTTGCCGACCGCCTCCTGCCACGTCGCTGCTTCAGGCTGCAGCCGCGAGCAGCGGGGCGGCGGCCGCGCGAGCCGAGCGGGGCTCCGAGACACCTGGGGCTTGGACGCCGCGGCCAGGCGCACCCCGGCGCACCGAGTCCCGGGAGGCTGCGGCAGCACTCATCCCCGCCAAGCAAGGCTGGGCTCCCTTCGGGGTCCCTCACGAAGCCCCTTCTGCGCGCTCCCGCTCCCGCCTCACCCCCCCCCCCTCCCCCCGGCACCACCGGCCCCGCCCCGCCCCCGCGGCTTCCAGGAACGCGCGAGCTCCGCCCCCCTCAGCTCACGCGCGCCCCTCGGCGGCCGCGTAAACCACGGCCCCGCCTTCCCGCCCTGCGCGCGCGCGCCGTGCGTCGTCACGCGCCTGCGACGGGGGGCGGGGGGAACGTGAGGGGAGGGTCACGTGGGCGGTGGCCGCGGGAACGCCGTGCCGAGGGCGGGGGCGCGGCCGCTGTCCGTCCGTCCGTCCGTCCGTCCGCCGCAATGCAGAACGTCATCAACACGGTGAAGGGGAAGGCCCTGGAGGTGGCCGAGTACCTCACGCCCGTACTCAAGGTGCCGGTCCTGCGCAGGAGCTGGGACGGGGAGGAAGGGCGCCCGTGGCCGCGCGTCCCTGCGTGAGCCCCGGGAGCTGTCGGTGCCCTTGCCGGCCGGGCCCGAGGAGCTGCGTGGCTGCGGGTCTGGAAGGGCGCGGTGCTGGGCGTGCTGGCACAGCCGTCGGCCCTCATCCCCCCGCGGCCCGGAGGGGATGGGGGGACCTCGGCTGGCGCTCATCCCGCAGAGGGGGAGCATCCACCTGGGAGGGGCGGGCCTCGAGAAGAACAGGTGTTGCTGCTCCTGCTTCTCAGGGAATAACTTAAATGTGTTGCTGTTTTCTGTTAAAATTACGAAAGTCTTACGTGGTTGTGTGTCCAGGAATTGAAATCCGAGCGTACAGAGAGGCTTGAGCCTGGTTTCAGGAATTGCATTGCATGGTTATTTTGGGTAAAGGGCAACTTTTTCAGCTGACATAAAAAAAAAAATCCAAACCAAAACAACAAAATTAGCCACACACCTTCGTTGGGTGAGCAGGTTTTACATTGCCCAGCTTATTCCTGTATCAGAATTACAGTATTAATACAAGCCTCTGTGTACCAAAGTAGCTGAGAATAGCAGAAATGAGCCATTGGGTCATTATAAAAGTAGACAGCATATCTGTCATATTTCCTGTTACTGCATATTTAGGTAGAAAGAAATTATAATTTTCTGCAGTTTTTAGACTACATCCCATTCTCTGACTCTTATTTGCAAACAATTTTTTATAGAAACCCCAAATTTGTATACAAGTGCTTAACTTCGCAGCAGTTTTTTCACTACTGATTTTGATGCTTCTGCATGCTTTTGAAAAAAACACTTGTTTATGACAACAGTCTCTCTGCCTGTGGCTTTGTGGTTTGACCTTTTATGTGCTTTGCACCCTGCAGCTTACTTCTCTGCGTAAATACCAGGGACAGTCAATTATTAATTGAACTTGTTCCTCTGTGGTGTTTGGGATGCTCTTGTCTGCATAGTGGACCTGCCTAGAGTTGCCCACCAATGTGAAATGTATGAGTTGCAGTGAAGTTGTGCCATGGGAAGGTGAAGTGAGTTGTTCAGTAGTACAGTTATTGTTGCACAGCTGGTGTAGTAGTGGACGAATCCTTGTCTCCAGATGCATTACTGGGAGGAGGCGGGAGTGGAACCTTCCAGAAATGGAAGGTGTTGATATTGTGTGTATATGTTCCATTTATGAGGGCAAAATAAATACTCCAACTTGGTAATTTTTGAAAGAAACTAGACCTTTGTCTCTCCCAGTTGAAGGATTTACTTACGTGGAAAAATGAGCTATTTAACCTCAGGGAAAAAAGGATGAATGTTTTACCTGTTTTCTTTCTGTAATTACAGAGACAAGAGTTTGTGCATGTTCCCTACTGCTTATGGTTCATTTTGAGGGGAACTAGTAAGTTGTCTCCACTGTGGTGTTGCACAATGTGTTATTGAGGATTCTGAGTTTTATAGCAATTGAAATTACTTTGATTTCAGTCACCTAGTATATAATGATGTTACAATGTTTGTAGAGCTGCTGTTTTCCTTATCTTTATCTTGTTCTTAAGTGTATCTTCCTTAGGACTGGGGCAGAAAAGCAGTAATCAGTACCTATGAAACAGGTGTGCTCCTTTCATTTTCTGTAGCACAGGTGATAGCACAGACTGAGGGAAGGAATGTGAATACCCAAGTTTAGCTGGGGCTGCTTTTATTCAGTGGTTTTTGTCTGGTTGAATATGGCGAAGTTGTGGCTGGGAGCAAGGCATGTTCAGTTGATGCTTTTAGTCTAGGTAGGGGAAAAAAATATGCTCCTTAGGGCAAGAGGTCAGTTATGCCATGGTTGAAATTTTATTCTCTTTCAAAAGCTGGTTTTGAACAGCTCGAATGCTGGGGAGCAGTAGGATACCTTGGTGCTTGAGGCTTTTCTGAAGAAACAACCAGAAGTCAAAACATAATACACTTAGTCTAGATTTGAGTATGACACAAGATGTGTTATCCTTAAGCTTCATAAGTGTTGCCTTTAATGCTAAAGTACTTAATTTCTCCATGCAGAATAAGTCTGGTGTCTGCTCACCATCTATTCTTTCATACACAGAGCTCCCCACAACAATATGTAAAAACTGAAGCTGTTTCCATGGGGATGCATGATGAAAGCACAGAAATGGGCACTAAAAGAGAGTATATTACTAAGTCTTTGTATTTAACTTTTTTTACCCCAGAGCAGAGTTAGTTTGGTCTTTCATTCATGACTTTACTTAACTGCAAACCTCATATTGATGAATTGCAGTGCTGTTCAATGCCTAGAACTCTGGAGTCCTTGACAGATCACTGATTTCAACTGATTTTCTGTTTCTTACTGGCAAACGAAATACTGAGTGCCAGCCATCTTTTCTTCATTATTGCAATAATTTGCAGTAGCAAAAAAAATAATTTGGGTGATAATTTTTCATAACAGCTCATATTTTGCAACAAGCAATTTTGGGGAGCCTTCCTTCCGTATTTTCTAATGTAAGTTGACTGTCAGTTGTGGCAGAGGTTGCCTCCAGGCTGATTCTTGGATCTTTGGACAGAACTAATTGCAAAACGAGAGTAGAGAAGATGTTTGTCTTCAGTAAAGTGGATTGTGTTGATTTGTCAGTAGTTCTCAAAAACTTTTCTCTTGCAGGAGTCCAAGTTTAAAGAAACTGGAGTAATTACACCTGAAGAAGTAAGTATTTAGAAACTTAAATTTATTTTGGAAGTAATGATGCATTTTTTTATGCAAAATAACCATGTTAAACAGATCATGTCTTTGCCAATTATTGCTTCTTAAAATAATTTCCACAAAGTGAAATTTCTAAGTGGCCTTTTTTACTCTACAGATTAAAATAGATCAACATAATTTTTTCTGAAACGGCATTAGGCATCTGAATGTGGGATGCTTCTTTCCCCTATTATGCTGTGAAAAGATTGTAAAGAAGCTGGGTCAACAGCTCCATTTGTCATGGGAGTTCAGGACTGAAGTAGGAATATACTGGTTTCTTTCCTCTGAGGAACTTGAATGGGAGCATTTATCTTTGGAACAGTCTTTGCTTACCTCTGTTTTTGTTCCTTCCAAGGCTCTGTGAAGATCATATATTTGTTCACACCATGTATCCAATGATTATTATTTTTCCCTCTTCTTCTCTTTAGTCTGGTTGTATTTTGAATTGCTGCCAAGCAGTTGTATTTTTTTAAGAACTCCAATGCAAAGAGCAACAAACAGGATTTTTTTCCTGGAACAGTAAGAACACTGGCTATGTTGAGCTATTTTAACTTCCCCCTTACACTTTTTCTCATACTGAACTGCTACTGATCTGCAAAAACTTAGTCTTTACAGAGTTCTAATAAAACAGGGTCAAGACTGTTAGGTAGAATGAAAGAAAAATGAAACGATAAAAAATTGTAAAGATGAGGTGGAAAAAAAAAGGAACAAATGATGATTGATTAGGGTAGATAATGTGGACAGAAATATTTTTCCTAATACTGGTGCCTGTATTTTTCTGCTGTGTTGCCCTGGCAAGCAAACCCTCACTCTCTCCCTCTGACACAGAAGTACCACACAGAAAAACAGGCTTAGCAACATGATGTTCTGTTCTGACAACCGTATGTATGTGTGTATATAAATATTAATATATGTTATGCAATAATATGTGGTCTTGTATATAAACTAGAATAACAGAGAAAGTCTGGACAAATGTTATACCAATACTTAATCCCTTTGTGGTTTATGGGAGAAGAATTTGCAGTAGTATTGTAAGAAAAGGTATCTTCTATAGAACATAGCAAGAACCACACTGTATTACATTAAACAGTTTGCAGCCTTTAAACACCACTAGGAATATGAATAGTCCATGTTCTGTGTGTCAAGTTAGATGCTGCTGGGATGAATAAATTGGATCCTTCAAAACAGTAGTCAAGGGAACCAGTTATACAGCAAGATTAAATTTTTGGTAAATTTAGATGAAGCTGGAGCATGGACCTGCTGATTACCCCTTTGACAGTCTTCATATAGGAATAGTTGCTAAAGAAGAATGATGACACTAGGATGTTGTCTTTGCATGAGTTTGTATTTCTTGGGTAATTTAAGCTGTATTTTAGTCTGAGACACTTAACTGGTGTATAGATTTTTGTGGGGTACCTGTGGCTTGCCTCTGAGGATGAGTAAATTGAGACTAAAGATGACTCATCAAACTCAACACCTACTCCCTTTTTTTCACTTATCTGTGCACTTGATTTATTTTCAAAAATTCTTGCCCGTCATGAGTTCTTACTAGTTAATACTGCCAAAAGATGACACCTGTTTTAATTATGTGTGTAAATAGAGGGAAATTGTTAAAATACTTTTCTTCAGGACTAGAAATAAGATGTCCTAAAATTGATCTCCTTCTGCTTTCCAGTACTGATTCAGATATGAGGTAGCATCAGTGCTTGAGAAATAGAAAGTGAAACCAGCAAGATAATTTTGCTGCCTCAAGTGAAAAAAAAATAGATGAAATTTCAAGTGCTGTTTTAGGGCTATGTATCTGTTAGACCCACAAACTACACTGTTTTTCATATTTAGTAATATATTTCAACATTGCTGTCATAAACAGAGCTTCAATTCCTTGAACAGAGAATTTTAAATATTTCTGGAATTTCATTTATGTTTACTATGTAAAAGATAATGAGTTTTAAAATTTTCCTGTGTATTGGAAGAGTTTGCTGGGTTTTTTTAAAGGATTGAGTTTTGCTAGAGGTTTTTGTTGAAAATAGGTGAAAGAGAAGCACTTTTGCAGAGATTAAGCCTGTTAATCCGTGTGCAGTGTGCACTGTGGTGTTTTCTGCAGCACTGATCCGCCTGCCTATGGAGGACGTGATGAGGAAGTGGCTGTGACCTGCTGCAAGCCTGTTACATCACACTGCAGCAGCTCCTGGGCAGCTGGGGAGGGAAAGTGGCACTTCAAGACAAGACAGCACCTGTAGCAATGGCTGTGCACCTCATATTCCAAAGGGAGTGCTGCAGAGGCCACAAAAATCACTTGAGTGCGGGCTTGCCTTCCTCAATTCATGTGTACAAAGACAAGCCCAGAGGGTTACGCTTTGCTGCATGAATTTTTAGTTTGTACACACATGACATTGCTGGCAAGTTTAACATGACAGTAACACTTTGAAATAGTAATGCAATTTTATAACAGGCTTTATCTTTGACACTAAGAACAAGCAGAGTGAATTTTTTAAAAACTATTTCTTCAGAACAAAGTTGCTGATATGATATTTAGTGTACTAGGTAAGTGGTAATCCATTTTTAGTTTACATCAGTGATCAGCTATTATAGTGATAGTCATTATATGAAATCTATGCTGTTTATTTCTTTGTTGCAGTTCTCTCACTGACTCAGTGGATTGATGGTCTCGCTTTTCTTACTGCAAAATTGTTTTGAACAAGGAAAGGGAATTAAACTTTTTTTTTTTTACATTAAGCTCTTTGTTATCTTTGCAAAAGTTTGAATAGTGGCAAATAAAAATAATTTCTTTATTACAAAATAAATAGTCTTACTAGGTCCAGATACTATTTTGGTTCTTACTAGACTGGCAGGTAGTATCACAGGTTTTGAAACACTGAATTTGCTATGGTGCTTAGTAAGCATTTCAGGTGAAGTTGATTTAGTCTTTCCATTTTCATGGTTAGCTGAGATATGGAGTTAAAATAAAGCATCAAGCTGATTGAAACATTTGCTAATTACACAGTTAATCGATCAAAGGAATGTGGAACTGAAATACTAATGCTGAGAAAAAAATGGAGATTGTTGTCTTTGGCCATATGTAACAGTAATTTCTTTTCCTGCCTTAACAGTTTGTTGCAGCTGGAGACCACTTAGTTCACCACTGTCCTACTTGGCAATGGTAAGGAAAATTGAAAGAATTGTAGAAAGCTAGCATTCTTACCTGGGCTTTGGTGTATTTCCATTGGATTTAGCCATACAGTTGTCAGAGCAGTAAGTGTACTTTTCCAGTAAAACTTTCATGATGGCTCTATAGAGCTTACTAATTGCCGTATAGCAGTAGCTGAGATGAAGATTTGCTTGGGGATTTTTTGTTTGTTTTCCTAAGGTTTTAGGGAAAATAATCTGTTATATACTGTAAATGCTTTTAGTGCTTAGCTGCAGTAGCAGCATGTCTCCCCGGGTTTGTCTTGGTGATTGAAAAAGTAAAGGCCATGTACAACTGGAATTGTTTGCCAGTAGCTGTAAATGGTATATTTTGACAAGCATTTGTTAATAAATATATTCAAGTTAGCCCACAGCAGTTCATCGTGTGCAGTGATTGCCCTTGGAAATCCCTTCTGTTTTGTGCACAGTAAGGGTTCAAATAAGGTGCTTCCTTATGTTTTACTGGTGTCTTGCATTATGAAACTGCTCCTAAATGAGCATTGTCTGTGCAGTTGGTATCATCAGGGTCTTGGCTCTGTACTGAGCCTCGAATGGCTGAATCAAAAATTACTATGTTTGAATCATTGTTTCCCTGCCCCTTTGCCACCTCCTTCAGAGAAAACATGATGTTGAGTCTAGCAGCATTTTGGAATGGGCTGTTTAGAATGTTACTCTTATTTCAAACAAAAAAAACACTCAAGGTGAAGGCAAATGCATGAATAATGTGAAATTAAGTGTACTTAAGCATTAGTGACTATGGACAGATTTTGTATTTATAGAGGTCTATTTCTTGCTTTTCTGAAGCTGTTTTCTTTAGGCATTTGCTACTTTGTTGTTGCTGATCCCAGAAAATTTTATATAGAATAGATTATTTCGTCAATCCACCTTTCCTTGGCCATCTCAGAGTGAAAGTTTTTGAGGCATAAAATGGTTTTGATCTCAGAACAGTTAGGGGTGGCCAAGCTTTCTAACACCATACCAAATGTATATAGGGAGGAGTAAAGTCATAGCAAACCAATTCTGAGAATAGGTCAAGAGGATTATATAAAACATTCCTGACACAACATGAAAATAGAAGGGATCTTTTGTTTGCAGGTCATCAGATTCTCAAATGGTGTGCTTCATTTTACAGGGCTTCAGGAGAAGAATTAAAAGTCAAAGCTTATCTGCCAACAGACAAACAGTTTCTGGTAACTAAAAATGGTAAGCCTGAAATTGAAATGTAAGTGTTCTTAGAATACCTTACGCTTCAGATGCTCTGGCTTTGCAATATTAAAGAAGTTTTTCCTGCACTCCTAAATTCTTTTTCTTAGACCACTTTATTGTAGAGCTTTATATGAGACATAAAGCTTGCCTTGATGAAGTATAAATGAACTTTAAACATTATTAACCTCTTTGTATGTCTTTGCTTCAACTCATGTTCAGTGTCTAAAATGAAGATATGTTTTTTTTTCCTCATTCCTTTGGAAACTTAGACTATTAAAGAGTTCTCAAAATGTTTTTTATGCTGACACTGATACTTCTAATTCAAGTGAATTAGAATTGAATATGTAGTTAATGTCAATGCCCTTGTCAATTAGAATCATATAAATACAATCTTGAATTAATTTTTTTCACCTTCACAGTTGTGTTTATATAATACATGTGGTGATGACTTTTTAATGGATAAGAAGGATAACATTTTGACACAACTATGGGGAGATACGAAAGATCTTGTATCAAAATGTGTCAAAGCTATTAGATGAAGCATTAGCACTAAGCCTGAGGAAATTTTTGCCTGCAGAGGAATGTATTATATACTTGGATTTTCCTTGCTGGCTTCTGGGGTCTTGCGCTATCATGAGAAAATTACTACAGTAACACTGGACATTCTCCTGACATGGGCCTCATGGTGTGATAGCCAGTTGATCTGCTTTGTTTCTTTCCCTGTCACTACTGAGGTTCCTTGTTGCTTCGATCGTCTTGATCACATTCCAAAATAATGTGCTTCCTGCTGCTGGTGTCACATTGGCCTCCCACCTGAGTAAAAGGTGTGGGCTGTAGTTGAGACTGGGAACCATCCTACAGACCTCATTTTAGAAGTCTTTGGATGACTTCACTTTGACTTTCACACCTCTTTTATCCCTTTCTGAAAGGTTAAAGAGCAGTTTTCAAATGCTGCACTTCATGTAGCGGATCTATTTTTCTCCACATTAATAGAAAAGGAAGGAGCATTTTCTACATAGTGCTTGTTCACACTATTGGGAAATGCCTGCTTTGTCCTGATCAGTTATTCAGTCTTTCTTTGACTATTTTCTGAAAGCATTCTCTAAATCTCAATTTAAATGGCTCTGTAATGCATATGACAGAAGTTATTCTTAATATCACATGAATTCTTACCATCTAAATTTCTAGATGTTAAATTATAATTAAACATACCTAATGTATTGCATAAGTAGCTGCTGCAAACTTTTAGCAGCATTCTAGAGCCTAAATGAGTTTGGAAAACTGATGAAAATCCAGGCAAAGTTGTCCTTAGTTGTTTACCAGTGTGAAGAAAACTTACAGGTTCTCTCCAGTTGTTAGCAAATGAGAAATTATTTTCTAATCCTTAAGAGATTGGATGAAACTGTTCTAATATTTAACAGAAAGATGAACTTCTAAGGTTATAGCAATAGTTGTATTTTACATTAAGTAAAATACGTAGTACAGCATATCAACATATTTTTGGAAGTTCAAACTTTTGCATTTGAAATATAGCCTTAGGATTCCTTAAATAGGGATATATGAAAACACATTTTTAGAAGGCCTTGTAGGACAATATCATGCTCCAGTCTGATTTTGTATAAGAATGACTGACTGCATTCTTTTTGTTTTGTCATTTTTTGTAGTGCCGTGCTATAAAAGGTGTAAGCAGATGGAATACTCAGATGAGCAGGAGGCAATTATAGAAGAAGATGATGGTGATGGGGGATGGGTAGACACTTTTCACAATGCAGGTATTCAAGGTCTTGCTGCAGGCTTTGCATTTGGCAATCTGATTTTCAGTTTCCACTCTTAGAAAGTAAAATCTTTCTTAAATACACGTCTGTGTACCAATATGTAGTCTGGAGGAAATAAGTTACATTATCAGCTACCTATCTGATTGATACACAGTGTTTAACTGTGTGGCTGTATATGCTTGAAAAAGGCTCCTTTTCAGAGATGATGACACTAAAGTTCTAGGAAGTTATTTTAAAGTATGAGCTGTGTAGTACTCATTCCTTATTAAGGAAATCCTGTGAAGATGATGTTATTTTAAATTGTGGATACTGTACTAAAAAGAAAGATGTTAAGTACAGAGATGAGAGTGGAAGATGATCCTATTTTACAATAATCCCTTAAATGAGCTTGTGTTTATAAAGAAGTCTAAAAAATACTGCTTATATGAATCTATCTCACTGGCTTTTCTAGCACAGTGTTTTAAAAATACTTCTGTTTATTTCTAGTTGGCAATGATATTAGTTTTAATCTGTTTCATGATATTCCATCATGTGTTAATACAATTCTGTCCTTCAATGATGTTTTCTCCACCATTTCCAAAAGTACTTCTCTAAGTTTTTACTTTCTTTGGTGTAAATTTTTTTGCTGTAATATAGAGAAAGTTCTCTAAATAGTTTGCCAGGGTGGGGAGGAAAAGGGTTGGAGATGATGCTTTTTTTTTTCTGTAGGCATACATTTTTCATCATTGGCAATTCTTAAAGGTATCATAGTTCATAATTGAGTGCCCCCACACCAAAGAAATAATTTGGAATAGCTTTGTCTTGTCCTTGAATTAAGTGTGCAGTATCCGTCCCTCCTGTGAATAGACTCCTCTGCCAGGTTTTTCCTTTTACAGTTGACTGGTTTGGGCACCATACAGTACAGCACAACTGTAACACCCTGGCTAAACCTCGCCAGGTGTCTGAATGCTGTCAAATGAGATAAAATCTGTTTCCACAGCTGAAGAGTTAATCAGACAAATGTACTCTGTCAAAGAAGAATCTTGGCATGTATGCCAAAAGGTATTATGTGAGAACTGCAGTAAGAACTAGAAGGCTAATGGGGAGTATCTCAAGATCGGAAACTTCTATGATTTGGTGTGGTTTTATATCCCCACTTTCCCTCAGCTAAAAGCATTGATTGCTGTGCTCCATTTTGCTTTGTCATTGCTTTCAGGAAGCTCAGAAATATTCATAAATGCCTGCCTTTTTCATGAAGTTGAGTTTCATTGTTGTGATGTGAGTGCTTCTCCTGAATTCACTTTTATGCAAAAAGACCTTAAAATAGAAGTCCAAATTCTCAGAGTTCCATCACGGACTTTTTAAGATGTGGCACATCTGTGCTGTGGTGTTCTGTGTTACTGGTATGGTTTGCTTAGGGATGTTCTGCACTAAGCATGTTACCAATACTGAAGGAACAGCCTCTCACATATCAAGGTTGTTGAGGTATGACTTTAAAGATGAGACATTGCTTTTAAAATCCTTGCAAACTCTTTCTATGCTGTTCTTTAACCAAGAACCAAGCTTTTTTAACACAAGCTTCTTCAATTTACAGGTATAGTGGGTGCAACAGAAGCAGTTAAGGAGATCACACTAGACAGTAAGGTGCTTGTTTCTAAATTTCTCTTGCTTTGTTACAGCCCTGAAGGTAATAGTAGTTTTACCAGTGTCAATCTAGTACTCAGTACTCCCTGTGAAAGATTAAATGGCACTTCATTACAAATTGTTTTGCAGAGGTACATTGACCCTCAGAGCCTGTGATATTAGTCTAAGCATGTGCGTCTCCTTATCGCTGTGTTTACTGAGGCATTTGTCTTTTTGCAATGTCTTTAGCCAGTGCTCCTGTGCCAGGCTTCTACAAACTGAAAATTAAATTCTGTTCATACTGATGTCACACATTTGTTTTTCAAGACATTAGTGTTTGGAAATCCAATGTAAAGAAATTTTTATGTCGAAAAGTAATGTGGGAATGTAAAGTGTTTCTTTGTGATCTTCAACTACAGCGAGTAGACTTTTAGCACATTGGTCCAGTTTGACAGGTTTATGCCCTTCAGTTTAGAAGAACTTTATTTGTATAAATGTATACATGTTATGTAGTCCTCAGTTTCTGCATGTTTCCAAAAAGTCACTTCAGCAGGAAACAAACCTGAAACTTATGTCCTCAGGAAGTACTTGAAATGCAAATGTATTGACTAACATGTTTAAGAAACATGAAGAAAGTGACAGAGACACAAAATGCTTTTAAAGATGAGTTTGTATGGGGAGTTCTGGCTGTGGGCTGTGAGCATCCAAGAAGCTTTGGATTCTAAAAATTAATGGGGAAAAATGGGCTGTCCTATGCTACTGCATAATTATAAACAGCTCAAAAAATGCTATCGATTTGATGAACAGTGAAGTGCAGGTATACCAAATGACTTTGCTGAATATAGTAAAAATACTGCTTTTTTACAAGTCAGTAACATGAGAGTGGAAGAAATACTCAAGGAATGACTAAAGTTGATAACTTTTTCTGCAAAACACAATACCTGCAGAATGTTACTGTGATTCATAACTGCTGTTGTGTGCTTTGCATTGGATTTTATCTCTATTGTGTGTAGAAAAACTTGTTTGCTTGTGGGTCCAATCCAGGTTCTGTTTGACAATGCACGTTGTCACTTAGTTTTTTATTGGTTTTGGTGGTTTGGGTTTTTTAATGAAAAATTCAGCCACCTGATGCTCAGAATTAAAGGAGCTTCCAAATGTAGTTGTTATTTGGAGTATTCTCCTAAAATCTTAATGAAACCTCTGTAAATTGAGACCTTTACTTTCTGAATTTCTTTGGAGTTGTTCATTGGATTCTATGCTGTGCAAGGCCCAAAAGTTACCTGTGGGCTTGTGCTGTATTTGTTTCTGTTGGACTCTAATTCTTGTGTTGCAGAATTATATCAAAATGTGATACCTTTTGTGACTGTCTAGTGGTTTAAAACAATTATGGAACTGGACGGGGCTCATAGTCTGTGAAACTGGGTGACACTTTTAGTCATATAATAGAGTTCATGTAGTCCCACAAAGAGGAGGAGGTTGGACTCGATCATCCTTATGGGTCCCTTCTTTGAGATATTTTATGATAACTGCTTCATAGTTGGCTGTGGGTTGCAACTTAAAAAATACTTAACCTACATGTTTAGTCTTAGCTGTTTAGTTACTGCCTTTCATTTGTGATAGGTGGATCTCTTGATTGTTTAACACCATGGTTGCTTTTCTTTGTTTAGGGATTAAGGCATTCCAGATTGCAAAGTGAAAGGAAAACTTTTAAAATGGATTTTTAATGTCATACTAGGACTTTGAAACAAGGATGAGTTATTAAGCAAGTATTTGAGTTCAGTGTAGTTCTCAATATTTCAGAAGTTAGCTTTCTGGCTCACTGAATGTGTTGACTGGACTTAACACCTTCAGTTTTTTGGGGCTATTAGGCTATGTAGCTGGAACAGTCATTAAAGCAGTATTTTCAATTTAACTTCTGAAGGATAATATAAAAATACCAGAGTGTTCAGCATCTTGTGAAGATGATGACGAGGAAGATGAAGGAGAAGCTGCAGACATGGAAGGTATTTCCTTAATTTGTGTGGGACATATTTTATTTCAGGTCTTTAACTAAAGCAGTACACTCTAAAACACTACTCATTCTTTGCAAGGAATTCATGCTGAAAACTTCAGTAGGCCTGTGCTCTTTAAATGTCCTTTGTATGGTTTTATTGATGCATGTTTACTCTAACTTGTGTGCTAAAAACCTGACTGAATATTAGTGATTGGAAAATTGTGTAGCAGAACAAATCTAAGAAAGTTTAAATTAGGGATTTAGCACAGCTTCCTTCCAGCTTTGTACCTACACTTAAACTCAAGTGTAGTTGATTTTAAGTGTAGGTATGAACACTACATCGTACCTACATATAAAATCTGCCTATATAAAATTTTATATTTTATTTATTACCTACAGGAATTATTATATTTTATTTATTACCTACAGTAAGTAGGTGGAGCTATACTTCAGCGAAGTATAGCTGAAGTATCAGTCCAGCTACTTACTGTAGTCTTGGTCAAATTTGTGTTTAAAAAGAGATAGTCTGGTTTGGGGATTGGGAAGATTACCTGAATAAAACTTGTTTAGATACATGTCGATTTTTTTAAAGTAGTTGTTTATGAATGATAAATATAATGACTGGCTACAAGCTGAACACAAAATTTTATGGGTCTTCTTTTCAGAGTATGAAGAGAGTGGGCTATTGGAGACAGATGATGTGAGTGAACAGTTCTCTCTCTTGCCTGTTACAATATAAGCACAAGCAAAGTAAAAATAATGATAAATGGCTGAAATAACAAGCTTATGAGTAGTAGGATTACTGAGCTTGGATTTCTATGGATTTGTCTCCTGCCAATCTACTGCACTAACTTGAACCCTCGGGTCCTCAAAGATTTGTCCCACAGAAATTTTCCTTGGTTTTGCTAATCCTTTTGCTCTGCTTGTACAAACACCGCTGTATTCACGAGAAGTTAAAAAATGCAGCGGTGATTCTTGGGGCTTACACAGGGAGGATGAGTGGCCTGTAGGTTCAGTAGATTACACCAATACCTCAGATGTTTATAGAGAAAACAGAAGGCCTCATTATTTGTGGTACTATGCTATAGTCTTAATGAACCTGCACAAACTGAGACCTTTGCCATGTGAATTTCATTGGAATTGTCTGTTATTTGTGAAAGAAGGTAGGGGGTGTAACAGCATAGCTGCCTACTTCCTTGAAAAATCAGACCTTTTTTGAAAAGTAAAAAAAAAAAATCACCGAAAATAAAACAAAAAATTACTTGTTGGTGGAGAAACTGATGCTTCTAATTTAGAAATAAAAACAAACCATAAGTTGGGGGGTTTTTGTGCCCACTTAAGAACATTATTAACAGTTTTACATAACTACTTAGGATGGGAAAGGAAGGAACTCAAGCAAGATTATTCTAATCTTGTTATTTTTACCTTGAACCAGGCAACGCTTGACACACGACAGATTGTAGAAGCTAACAAAACTAAAGTTGATGTTGGAGGGGAAGATGCTATTCTACAGACTAGAACCTATGACCTCTACATCACCTATGACAAATATTACCAGACTCCAAGGCTCTGGTTATTTGGATATGATGAGGTATATCTATGTTGGGGTTTTTTTCCTGCGTCTGTGAAATGTGGCTCGCTGTGTCAAATAGGCTATTTTGTTGCTTATTCACAATAGAAATTTAAAGGAAAAAATGGTAAGAAAACCATTAAATAATATAGGCTTGTAGGTAGGACTTTTATTGTACTTGCAGCAAGTTGGAACAATTTCACTAAAAACTGCACATGATAACTGAGCGTATTTTGAAGGAAGGCACTGGTGTTTTTGTTAGCACTGTAGAACTGGTCAAGTAAGCAGGTATGTGCTTTCATCTCCTTCAAAAGGAAAGGAATATATGAATAGTTCTTCCCTTTAATCACTAGGTTTCTTGAGCTAAAGTTGGGTAGGGCCCACTGCTCAAATACTGAGGTGGGAACCTAGCTGGTTGTTAAATACGTTGACTACACTGCTTAAAGGAAAATCTGTGCAGTACTATTTTTATACCATATGGATTTTTATGCAATTCTTTCACTGTACCTTCAGAACTTTTATATTTTAGATGCCTGTAATTTTTGGAGCATTGTCTGTTACTGATGTTAGAAAGGAGCAAGAGTCTTTATTAGTAATGCTTTTGTTCTCGTGTTCCTTGTTCCCCTCTAGCAGCGGCAGCCTTTAACAGTAGAGCATATGTATGAAGATATTAGTCAAGATCATGTCAAAAAAACAGTGACCATTGAAAACCATCCTCATCTTCCTCCACCTCCCATGTGTTCAGTTCATCCATGCAGGTAAGTCTTTGTTTCTGGTCTGATAGTGCCTGCAATACAAGGCACTTCACTGCTCTTGTTAAGGTTTTTGTTCAGGTCTTCTGGACATATTTCTACAATTGGCTGCTGTATTGGTCTGTTGGTTTCTGAGGCAGTATGAAAGGAAAGGATCAGCAGTTCTCTGAGTTCATTCCAGTGCTCAGTGTATTGTGTTCTGCAGTTAGCACTGTCTTCTCTGATCAACTTGCTTTTTTAACTCCTCTTCCTTGTGTACTCCAGGAGATGGCAGACTACCAGAATTCCATGAGATAAAGTTTTATCCTTTTGTCTACTTTTTGGGGAGAGTAGAAGTACAGTGTATACTTCTGGCAGCTGAAAAAGCTATTTGAACATTAAATAGCAGTTTCTTATTTATGTTAACTATCTCCTGCTCCCCTTTACATTTTGCACTGATTAATAGAGATCCTGTGATTGTCACACTGAAGTATTTGTTGAACACAACTGCAAAATGCAGTTGGTTTTTTTGCGTATTGTTCCATTTTCCATGTTTCTTACCCAAGACATAGGGAGCCTATAGTTCAACTAGCTGCACAGATATTTTTTCTAGGCCTTTGGAAGGTGTATCTTGTCTTAGATGTAGGCCCTAACATCCTTTTGGGTGTCTTAGTGATACAGAGCCAGTATCTGAAACAGTGTAATTCTTCTTGACAGTATGAAGTTCCTGAAGGTACAAGTTTGGGCCTTTACCTTTTAAGAAAAGATACTCTTTGTATTATACTGTGCATATGTTTAAAAGAAAAAATTAGAGTTCAGATTGCCAGTTTAATTTCCTTTGACTTAAACAATTAGGCTATCCATGTCACTAGCTGAGTGTCAAATAATCAACTTGTTGACAAGCTTGTGGTCATTTTCACAGACTCAAAGCATTCTTGCTTCTGGCTTAGCATTTAGAGAAGAGAGCAAGGGAACTTTGCAACAAGTACTTTATGGCTAATTTTGGTCTTAAGAAGATAGATATTCATATGCTTTGTAAATCTGTATATCATGTTTCTTGCAGTACACAGTTCATTAGCCACTGCTTTTCAAAATTGTTTGCTTTTGCCAAGCAGTCAGACTTACATGTGGACAGTATGGAGCAGAGAAGCCATTGTACTGGGAAGTATTTTTTTTCCCCTCTTGAGGTCTAGTTGAAAATTTTGGAGTAGTAAAGTTTATTCTTGCTTTTTAAATCATCAGGTTTAAGTCTGCACTAACATGAAAATGTCAGTCTGGGTACTCAAGAGTAATACAAGAAGCAGAACTGGAAGAACTGCAAAGCAAATGATAAAGAATGGAACATAAAACAACATAAGACCTCTGTTAATCTGTGAGACCACCACATATTGAATATTGGAGTACAGCTCTGGTCATCTGTTCTGTAGTCTGTGAGGTGAAAGAAGACTAAAACTGGAAAAGATACAGAGATTTGTGTGGGATAACTAAAGTTATAAAGCTCTTTCCCATGATAAATGATAGAATAATCTGTATCCCTTAATATTTGAAAAAAGCTGAGCAGGACGTTATGATATCTGTGACCTTCGCTATGAATGATACAGGAGGTGAAGTAATAGGATTTAAGTTTTCTTCCAGTAGTGAAACTGGTGGCATTGAATGCTACTCTGCTGGCATTTTCAAAGCCAGAAAGGATTAATTTCTGCACACACCACCTAACTAAATTAAGTACTTATTTAAGCCATAGTATGTTAATGAAATAAAAAATTGTCAAGGTTATTAAAACTGTAGTTAGTAGAAGGATTCAGAATAAGAAAGTCCCTGGGTAATTTCCATCAGTATGCTGGAAATGCAGTTCTAGTAGTGCTTTGGACAGAGCATTTATGAGATGCTTGTTCCAGCCTCTTTATTGAGCATGTACTATAAAATAGGAAGGATAACCAGGTAGATCTTTGGTTTGAATCCAGTAAGGTGTTCTTGTACCTTATACGAACATACTAGTCTTAATCTCAACCTGTTGGTGACTTTGACTGTCTTTTTGTTTGCTGTCTGAAGGATTTTTGGACAAAAAATGGATTCATCTTTTTTTGTGCAACTAGTGGTTTTGATGGAGTGTCAAGTGGGAGGAATGTAGGAGGTCTTAGCAGACTGACCGGGAAGATGATTAATAGGAGAAAAAGAGGAAAAAAATCCTGAAGCCAGAATTTAATTTTACTTTGTGTTGTGGAAGCCTTGATAGTAAATTGTTTGGGAAGAAGCTCCTGTTGATGTGTATTTGGAGGGCACTCTGAGAACAAACAAAGATGCAGAGATATTTCAGCATGACAGCCCTCACTAGGGCTGTCATGCTGAAATATCTCCCTAGGACTAGGTAGAATTGTGGGATTTATACTGGGCTGTGGCTGCAATTTTATCTGCTTAATTTTAGTTACTACTCTGCAGAGGTGTTAGCAGTGCACTGCTAATCTGTGAATTTGGGTTGAGTCTCTTCACAGGTGAGAGCCCTGTGGTCATGTTTTCACTTTCTCTGAAGCCAGGGAAGTGCCAGTTCCTTTTTTATGTAATCTACACTTACGCTTGAAGCAATGGTTTACATCATGACACTTGTTTCAGCTTTAAGCATGAAATAGATGATTGATAGTGAAGTGAAACAGGTCTGTTGCTAGTCTTAAAAATGGAGGAAACTGTAGCCCTTCTCAAAAAGTGATGTCGTGGTTCTGCACCTGCTTAACACTGGAAAGAGTTTAAAAGGTATTGTTGAGGCTGTGAAGAAAGAGGCTAACAGCATATCTGAAATTGAGGTTTTAAGCTATTTTTTCAAATTGATAAGGCTAACAGCTAAGAAGGTTGGGCTTCTGGATTAAAAACCAATAGCCAAACTGTTGCTTTCTTTTTAATTCAGCTAGGAACTATGAGTGTTTAGTTACATCTGCTGCTGTTGCTTCCCATCATGCTATAGAAATTGTGTAATGTAGGATATTTGTATGATTCCAAACCTTTTTATTGCAATGTGAGTATCCTCATGTCAGGTGTTAAAGAAAGGAAAGAAACAGCAGTTGGATCACACTGTCAGCTGCTTGAGATGGCTTCTCTTTTGAGTAGTTAGTGAAAATTGTTCATTGTACAGCTCTTCTGTAAGTTGTAGTTCTTGTCAGCATTTTTATGGTACTGGGAGGAACATAGTCAACTTCCTCATTAATTGCTGTAAACTGCTTTAATCATGATTCTCAGCTTTTTCTTTGTGTGCTATGAAGGGACTATCAAACAGGTTAACTACTAAACACATTTACAATTAAATTGTAATTACTTGCACTGATTCCAAGGACTTATTTGTCTTCATTTCAGAATAGTGATAAGCTTCCAAACTCTTTTTGCTTCTAATGTGCTCTAAATATCTGCAGGGAAAAATTGTAGATAGCAGGATATTTTAGCTTACATTTCTTCAAAAGTTATTTCTTTCCTTTGTAGTGTGTTTATATATTTTATGTTCATTCCTCCAAGTTTTCTTACAGGAGGAGGCTGAAAACAGGAAACAAACTTTATGAAGTTTATAAAACACCTGCAAAGCTTTTCATGAGTAACTGTATGACAGTGAGAATGACCATTACTCTGTGGCCATTGTAGATTTGAGGTACCTGAATAGTTCTTAAAAAACAGAAAAGAGCAAATGTCATTAAGATGTATGAAGTTGAGTCAGTATGCTGTTTAAGACTTCTAATGCCTGCATGGTGACCTGCCTTCTGAGCCAGTAAAAAGTACAGTTATGCATAAGGTCAAAACTTAAGTTTTGGCAGTGGCCAGCTTCCTACAGAGAAGCAGCTGGCCTTGGCACCCGAAATGGCATGTGTTCCGCAGGGCATCATGGGGATCCAGAGCTGGAATCGGCTCTGAGAGTTAGTTGACTTGCAAAGACCAACAGTAAATGACAAATGCTGACCTTTAATATTTCCCCAGACTTGCATGTTCCTGTTTACATTGTGTCTTGGTAACTTTGCAACAGCTTCCTTCCTTGTTTGCAGCCACTGGCAGCATGATTAACTTTGGAGATAATTACTAAATGCCAGTTGCTGGTCAGCTATTTAGATTGACGTACTGGTATCAAGACATGGTCAGAAAGTTATGCAAACTCTGCTTCCCACTCATCCTTCTTCTCAGTTGGCACTTTGGTTGTTTTGGGATGGGTATTTTAAACTACTGCTGCTCACTTACCTGCAGTGCTGTGTATATGGACACCCATAAACCTGTATTATTTATGTCACTGGTGAAGATTACCTGCAGAATCCTCTATTTAAAACAAGGTTGAAGTATAGATAAAACTAAGATTAATTATACAACCTGGGAGTTTGTGTTAAAGGTACATAAATAAAACATAATTTAACATACAGTAGTTCTCCCCTCTGATTTGATATGTTCTTCCTCCCTTAGTTTATGGGAGAGAACTGCCTTAAACACAGGAACATTACTTAAAATTGTAACTGGTCATTAAAAGTTTTGAAGTCTTTATCATTAAGGATATTCCAAACTATAGCAGACAAGTTATAGCACTCACCACTGAGTGATCTGTTCTAGTTGACTGCTCATTGAGCAAGGAGGGCTTTAGACTAGATGGTGACCAGTCTCTTCCACCCTTTGCTATTCTGTAATTTTGTGTTGCTTTCCCAGGACCAGCTTTGTCTACAAATATCGTGTGGTTCATAGTAGGTCAGGGATGTCACCAATGAGAATGTAAAGCACTACAGGGAAGGATGAACACTTCTCAGCTCACTGAGTTTTTACAATCATAGAGTTACAAGAAAGAAGAAACTAGCTGAGAAAATGTTGGTTTGCTATAGAACCCAAGTTACCACCAGTGAAAGTTTTCATACCCCAAACCAGTCCTAGAGCAATAGTTCTGAATTTGTGCAGGATTTAGTTAATCTGCCTTTCCTAGGAAACGATTAATTGTTTTAGTGTTTTAAACCTCTTCAAGCTTTACAAGTTTGAGTGCATCAGAGGCAGCTAAAAATGATACAGCAGTTTCTAGACATCATCTTCAGAGGGCATCTGGGAACTTCTGGTGGCTGGCTGCCACCAGTATTACCTTCTAGAGACTTAATCTGGGGGCTTTATTGGCATTTAGCAATTAAAAGTTATACTGGTGTCAAGCAGTATGCGTTCACTCTCATGGCACTCTACACTGAGCATACAACATTTGACATATGACATTGAGTCTACATTGTAGCATACAACATTTTTTGCTTTCTGTGGGAATGTAAGGAGCTGTTAAATAATGTTACATTCATCACTAAATGTTAATTTTCAGTTACTGTTGCTATTTTACTTTCTCAGTAAACTGAAAATTTCATTTTGCTGCTTCTGAACCTAATGGTCCAAAATTAGTTAATTTGCACAAAACCTATTCGTCCTGATGAAGAGGGAGTTGCCTCTTCCTTAAATGTTTTGTTTCTGATCTGTTTTTCAGGCATGCAGAAGTCATGAAGAAAATAATCGAGACTGTTGCAGAAGGTGGGGGAGAACTTGGAGTTCACATGTATCCTTTTTCATTATTACACAGATTCTTGGACACTGCTTGCAGTGTAAGGTCTGTTACCTCAAGGTTCATAAGCTGAAACACAATTGTGTGTGAAAACAGTGACTAGCTGCTTGGGGTAGCACTTGCTGGAGTGCTGGGATGAGCTCCTTTGTGAGCATGAAAAGGAGATGCCAGTGTAGGAGGGTGAGACTGGAGGTTCACAGCCTCCATCCAGAGTGTAATCACTGCTTACGGAGCAGCTTTTTTATTAGATGTTAATCTGAAATTTATTTCTGGAAGGTGTAGAGGTCCCACTATTCTCTATTCTGCATGTGAGCAATATCGTAGTAAAACAACATTGCTGACAAAAAGCAATGAAAATCACTTAAACTACTCTGAACATCAATATCAAATGCCTCACAATTAAAATTTTCTTTCAGGGAGCTGAGTGATCTTAGTTATGCTTTGTAGGAATCAATAGTATAATTTCTGACTGGAGCAACCTCTGTGATAAAAGCAAGTGTGTCCTTTCAAAATAGTGTTCTTTGCTGCTGTAGGGCAAATAAGCAGGAATTACTGAGCAGCTAAAGGTCTTGAATCAGTAAAATTCTCATTTACTGTATGAGTTGAGACTTGCTCAATTTGTGCAACAAGCAAGTGGAATTGAACTGGAAAATAACTTGTCTGTCAGAGTTGTTCAGGTTTCCTAGTCCTCTTATAGTTGCAAGTAGGTGATTTTCCCCTTGTTTTTATTTTTCTTTTTTTAAAAAATCACTTCAGTTGGGGCATTTTTAACATTTCTTGACTCATTTTCATATATCTTCTGTTTGTGAAGAAATGGTCAGTGAGACTATTATGTCAAACCATTGGGTTTACTTACATCCAGTACCAGTGTAACTTAATAGTCAGGGAACTGAAAATTCAATAGAAATCACTACTTTCAACTATCTACCTCTTTCTCACATGGAAAGAGACTTTAGATTGTAATTATTCAATATACTCCAGATTGCAAATTCAGGCCCAACATGCATTTCAAAGTGATATGTGCAAGGGAACTCTTCTCTGCAAAGGCAGAGCATTCAGCTTGCTTAAGCTAATCTCCTTACTTTCCCTTCTGACCAGGCAGGAACTCTTTCAAAGGATGGCTCAGAATAAGAGCTGATATCTTTTTCTGAGCCCCTAAAACACTGAGGAGAGGAGCCTTCTTTCCCTGCAACTACAGGAAGGTAGCTAGGGATTAGCCTTGCTGGGTAGAATTTACCTTGGCATTCGTTAATAACAAATATTAAGAGTGTAAGTGGAGTTGATAATGTTTCTGTGGTGTCTGCAAGATATAGTGAAAATAACTCTTGGTTCCCTGCATTTACTTAAACTTTAAAAAATGGTTGTCTATTTTTGGTCAAGCATTGAATGTCATTACCAGAATTCTGCAATAATAATCTCCAACTCTCTTAACTCTAAAGTAGCTAGGTGGTATTTTCCTATTAGCAAGAAATACTGCTGAGCAGACCATTGAATGTGACTTCTGCTTTGTTTTGCTGAATTTCTAGCTATTGTACATTTTCCTTAATAAGAAACTCAGGTACCTTCTTATTTTCTTGAAATTTGTACAGGCAGTCATTCCAACGATAGAATACGACTACACAAGGCACTTTACGATGTAACTGAAATAAGAGATGTGTTCCTCTAATTATCAAATCTTTTTTTAAATAACCCATCCATGTGACTTATACAACATTATACTCAATTTCTGTAACTAATCTTTTATCAACTTGATGCATTAAAATAAAATGTTCCATTACCAGCCTTTTTAATAAAAATCTCTGTGTGTAATATAAATAAATCACTTTCATTCCAGTACAGATAGTGCACTAAGAGGTGGGATTTTTTTTTCTCCATAATTCCTTAATTTCCTTCCATGAGATAATTTTCCTGTATTTTAGAAACTGAAATCTACTTTTGTAGTAGAAGCCTAATAGTTTTGGCTTTGTTACTGATTCCTAAAAATGCACGTTTATTTTTTCCTCTTCAATTTAAACTCATTTGAGAGCTTTGTGGAGGGATTTTTTTCCAGCTATGAATGGCTATATTTCCCCTAGCTGGAGGAATATTTTAAAAGATGAAAAACATAAGTGATTGTGTTGTTAAGAAAACTGTCTGACTACAGCTTAAATAAGTAACTGTAACTAACCAGTCTTTGAGAGGTGATTTCCACTTGAGCAAGACTAGAGGTGGAATATTTGAGGAGACAGAGAAGGGATATTCATTATGTAGTCCCTTTCTCTTGTAATAAAGAACAGTCTTATTGACAAAAATACAGCTTGAGGGTAAAGGGAAAAGATTGCTATGGCAGAGCAAGGTTCAATCTTGATTATTTGTCTACCTTAGCTATACTAATTGCCAGTATGATAGCGTGGTTTCCTCCTTGGGATGAAATTGCATGGAGTTGTTTGTGGATTCGGACATTGCATAGGCATCCAGGCTTTAGCAACCACTTTCTGTCCTGTAAAATGTAAGGTTTACTTTAATGAAACTTGGAGGAAAGGACCATCATGTCTCTGTATCTATATTTGTGCATATATTTATAGTCATTAGATTCACTTAAACTGTCTTTCGGGAAAGCACTTTTGTCTCCCAAGCATCCATCTTGCATTCTGCAAGGTAATCCAGAAGCTGGGTGTCTGCACTGGACTGAATTTACTGTTGGGTGGGAAGATTAGTCCTAGTCCTGGCACAGCTGGTCCCTGTTTTGGCTGTCCTTTGTACCATGCTCTTACTTACATGGGAACACATAATCAGGTTGTGTGTTCCATGCTAAAATTGACTTTCCTCTTGATATGTCTTCACTTCCTCTTTTTTTGGACATATCTTAAGCAATGTCTATGTAAGTGAAGAGTAATGCTGGCTGAAACCTGTTAAAAACTTAACCACATCCACTGAGTCATGCCATAGGAATTTGCCTAGGAGGCTAATCTCAAAGATGTTTTGGGCTTTCTGGTAACAAAGGAAGCAGCTGTCCTCCACCCAATAAATGGGGGAGCAAAGAGAGGGAGTATGACTTAAAATAGGCAGTGGTGATGTATATGTTTTTCCTTTGCATCAGATGCATCGGAATCTTTTGAAACATCCTTTTCCCTAAAAGGTATCTGTTCTCCTGTAAGAAGGTGAATTAGTTTCATAAGTCTCCAGTAAGTTAAGTTATAAAATACTGCATTCTTCCTTGTCAGGCTTTTGATGAAAGCAAGTGGCGTGTTTGTTTTTTTTTATTTTTAATGTATAAACCAAAGAAGGCCTTTTTCTCTGAACCTAACAGAAAAAGAGGCACAGCAGAACAGAAGAGAACTTGCAATGGCTTCCAGCATCACCATGATATTAGATATCTTATGGCATTTCTAGCCCTACATTGTCTGATGTTGCAAAAGCCAATCCTTGGTGACTAAGACATGGTGTTCTGTTTGGCTGCTTATCAAAGTGGCTGCACTTACAAGCAAATTTGATGTGGTGTACTTGTGCTGTACCTTAATCCTCTGCTTACTTTGGTATTAATGTTTAAAATTCCTGATAGAACCAAAGATTGCTGCTGTAGGAACTACTATAAACATTTAAACATGGTAACTTCAATTAAAGCTTCTGTCAAATCCTACATGATTATTAATTACCTGAATTTTGTGTTGGCATCAGAAGAGCTTCTGAGAAGTTCTGCTCTGCTCACTTTCCTACTACACACCTTACAGTTCTTATGGCTCTTTTCTTGCCTTCTGTTTCTTGACCTTGGACTTTTGGTATGTTCTTGTTTACAGGTGCTGCATGCAGTAAAAATGTAGGTGAATTTTTGATCCACTGATTAGGTAGAATGAGTGAGTTGTGATGCAAAGGGAATTAACTCATAGAGATGTAAAATAATGACCATCACAGCCTATTGTCAATGTACATGAAATGTAAAAATAGTAATAGAAAAAATTTTAAAATACCAATAAATACTTGCTTCCAATAAAAAATACAAGTGGAAGATAAAATCAAAGCAGTAAGTGTGGGAAGTGCCGTTCTGTATTTATTATTTTAAAAGTCTGATCAAAGCCTAAGCTACAAGTAATGAAGTATGGAGATAGTGTTAAACAGGGCAATTTCAACTTTGTCCTTCTGCAGCAGCATTTTTAGGTGTGGGAAAGTAGAGTTTGTTTAACCAGCTTTCTAACAAACAGCCTGAGCCATTGTTAGAGAACTAGAATGCTTTGAGTTTGTCTATGTTGTGAAGTTTATAGGGACACTTATAATTTAGAGTCTTACTGTGCTAAGAGCTTACTGATTTCATGTTTCTTTCTGAAACATGCCTATCTGCTTTTCTAGTGAAAAATAGCCTTTGATATCAGTAACTTCCAAGATCTGTTTTAAGTCTATTATTTGGGAAAAAAAAAGCTGGATGTAGAAAATTCAGCTGTATAAAGGATGAAAAATTTCATTCATTCAGAGTATCATCCTTATTGTTGGAAGTAGGTGTGTACAACTTCATAAGAGGCTCTCTCTCTTTTATGATAGTCCAGTTTCAGTTGCAACAATGATTTATTATGAAAAGAATATGAATCTTCCTAGCTGCAAATGAGTGCACTGGTATCCTTACTGTTGTTCTCTACAGAAAGAAATCCAAGATGAATATGCTGCTAGACTGACTTAGCATGAGGCCAGCTGCTCCCATGGTGCATATCAGTTGTAAGCTTGGGCAAATACAGAAATCTCTTGGTAAAGAAGACAAACTGGAACACAGAACACAAACAATGAGTAGGAGCAAAATAGTTTGTTGAGTCAAACTGAAATTTTTCTGGCAAAAATTAAACACTCAGGAAGAAAAAAATAAGCTTCACTTGAGTCAGTCCAAAATTGTGAGATATCATTAACACCGTTTTTTAAGAAAGGAAGCTTGTATATCCTTGTTTGTTCCTTAAAATTATTCTTTTCAGACCACAAGCCAGTGGTTTTAGACAAATTTGTTAAAGCACTGAAATTCGGTTTTACGGTGTTTAGAAAATAAACATGTTTATTTTTTTTTCTGTAACTTTACTGAATTCAGCATCTCTGTACAAATTGTTTTCAGTCCTGCTAAATAATTGGTTTTGGCAAACATCTACTGGAGAAACATCCAGTTCTAACAAGGGACGTCTGCTTTTCTGCTAAGGAGAAATACAAGTTTAAAACATGAATGTATTTAGGTTTAACATGATTATTTGTCTTCTGAAGTGCCAAGGCAAACTGAAATGCCCTTCTACATTCTTACTGCCTTTTAGTTTGCTTATGACCACAGAAGTCGCACAGCCTGCCTACCCTTAACAGTGTACACAATGTCTTCTTGTGTGGGCCATCATCAAGGCATATACATCTTCTTTTGTGTGACTTGTTCTCTGAAAGACAGCCTTAGTTTCTCTTCCTTCTTTTCTTTTTGCCTGCTCATATGTTTTTTTGGCATAGCACATCTACTTTCGGCTTCTAAACTGAGCTGTTTCACAGGTTAACCTTTCTTGGCTTTAGCACTCACTTGCAGAAGTGAAGATATTCAGCTGATGGCCTCTGTTCCCCTTAGTACCTGGCAGATTTGGTAAGTGCCTTCTTTTTTACCTACTTCAGAGCCACGTGTTCACTGCCGATTCAATAAATAACTCCTTGTTTGCCCATGAAGCCTGTTAACCCTGAACTAAACCAAGTCCGCCACTGGGCCACTGTGCATTGATTGGTGTGTTTGAATGAGAGAGAGATCTCTCTTAGGGCATTATTAGCAAGCAATTCCACAATTGTACAACTTTTTCTTCTCTGTACTAGCTCCCTGTCTGTCACCAGTTGTGAAAGCTGATGGCAGGCATCAGGATATGACTGCCTGCCTGCTGGCACTTAGGGTATTTTTTTTTTTTATGAAGTAGAACCAAGTTTGTTGTGGATCCTAATTTGTTATTTACAGCAAAATACATATCACCACTTTACATCTCTTTTTAAAGATCTGTTCATGATCACTCCGAATCAGCCTAGGCCACTTCACCCAGCCTAGGTGGAAAATGGCACTGCCAGTTAATTTTACTGGTCAGCTCTTAGAGTGGGACTGCAAGTATACCCTTAGTATATTTTCATACATAGCATAATAAGAAATCAGGACCATAATTACTGGGTGTCAGATAATAATCTTGCCCAGTTGGAAGATGCAGACCTGCTCTTAGTGCTAAAAGATATTTTTTAGGCTTCTCTTTCCTTGCTTGATTTTCATTTGGCATTTCAGTATCAGTACATCCCAAAGGTACTGCTTTATTTTAGAAGCAGCTTTGTTCATTGTGCTGCAGAGATTGTCATGCCAGCCTGCAATGGGCCCACATTCCGCCACATGATGTTTTGATGTTGTTGACTTGAAATTTACACTTGAGTATGTCAGTAAGCAACGAGGATAAAATATGGAGTTTGCAGCATGTGCAGTGTTGTGAAGTAGAAAAAAAGATCACAACTAAATATATGAATAACCAATAAAGTTTCATTGTCTTGGAAGATTCCAGCCTGAAAGAATATATTCTGTAGTCACTTGTCAGGGACTAATAGTAATAGCTTGCAGGCAACCAATACTAATTTTTTAAAAATTATATGTATGTATTAGACTTTCACAACATTAGAGAGGATATAATTGCAAATATTAGAAATTAATGATCAGGTGGAAGGGAGCAACATCTTTGGATGATTTTCAGAACACTGAAACTTCATAAAGCCTAGAGGATACAATGTTATGGAATAGCTTAAATAAAAGAAAAAAACCTAAGGCTGCTGCAGGTGATTTCAGGCAGGTCAATTTTACATTGATACTTAAAATGTGAGAAGAGGAGAAAATAAGCAAGCAGCCAGTATTGGATTTCTTGTTCTTAAAGGATTAAAGAAGGGTAACAAATGGTAGTCGGTGTAGCTTAATGGAAAGTATCTCTAGTTCAATTCAATACTGATCTTTAAAATTATCAATATAATCAGCCACACTTATGAAAGAAATTCTTACCATTAGAGTGATGCTGTATAATTCGTTGACTAAGAAATTTAAAAAATACAGCTCCCAAATTCCTCAAAATGGATAAAAGGGAAGTAACCAATTGATGTAAGCTTTGATGATTCCCAGCTCACAGGCACAAAGCAGGGGGTGTTCATCATGTAATCTGAGTATTAATTTTTAGCCTGCATTATTGTAGCTTTTTATTCAAAGGAAAAATTCTTAGAAGCCTACTTATAATGGATATTTCTATCACAAACACTTAGTTCATTAAACAGAATCACAGGAAGGTTTGTTTAAAGAAATATACCATGATCTTCGTAGTCATGTGCTAAGTGAGCACGATTGTTCTCGGGTTTCTGCACCAAATGATCCTGATGTTTGGTAGTGAGCATTTAGCTGTTGGTCTTCATCAATTTTTTCTTTTTGAGCCATCTCCCCTGTGTCTTTCAAGTTCTTATGTCTTATCCATATAGTTTGGATAGAATTAACCAACCTGCCAGTTAGGCCATTCTGCTGTTAAAAATTGATCAGGTTTTCCTTTGCAGTAGTCCAAAATGAAATGTTGTTCTTTTTGTCTAGTCCTGGACTTGGAGTTATTTTCATTTGGGAATTTAGGTAATTTTTTCATTAAAATATTAGGAAAACATTATTGAAAATGTTATTTTCATTTTCTGGCCACAATAAAAATAGATAAGATTTTTTCTTTTTCTAGTAATTGAGTGTGTGGGAAACATGATCAACAATTTACTTGTTGTTTTGACCAGCTTCTTAGTACTGGCAAAAGCAGGGAAACATTTTTGGTAATACAGTTCACATTGGTAATTATCTTATCAAAAGGTATTTTCCTAATCATTTCTTGTTAGATAAATGCCAACAGACCCTAGTCAAGACTAGATTAAAGTCTCCTGTCTGACCTGGTCAGACTAGATTAAAAGTCTCCTGGCTGCCTCTGAGAAGCCCATTGGCTTTTACCTGAGGTATTTGGGAGTGTAGTGGGAATCAAGCTGAAGCTGGCAACATTTGGAAGGGCGGCTGTTCTGAGCATGCAGTGCATGGTGATCTGAACGAGATTTTAGCTCTGTGTCCAATTCTACTCCCTGTGCCTAATCCTTCAGTATTTTGCTTTTAACCTGGGAATGATTTCTTAGGAGGTGTAGCATCTACCTGGAAAATTTCCATCAGTGCCAGCCATGTGGTAGGTTTCTGTTTTTTGGGAAGATAGAAAATATCCTTCTTCCTAACCACGTAAGTCAAACATCCTGTAATTGACACAATCTAAATAATCTTCTGCCTCTGATATCCTGCTGCTTCAGTACACAATGACCCAACCACCTAGTGGGGCTGAAGCTGCTTCTCCTTGGTGTGCTTGTCTCATGCTGGAGGTGGTGTGGAGGAGGGGAAGGAAGGTGGTTTAAACAGTTTTTTATCTCTATTGGATCGCTTTCGGTAAGGGGAGGTGGAGTAAAGAGCAATGACCTGAGCATAGCAAATGTTGTTACACTGTTGCATCATAATTATTTCATTTCTGAGGGGAAGTTAGAAGCAACAACAGCAATAAAAGCAGTGGTTTCTCCCTTGTCTTCTAGAGCAGCTTTAACAGGCATCTCTACCATGACTCTGCACTGCTTGCAGCTTTTTCTCTTGCTTCTGCTTGGTTCATGGTGGCCAGACTCAGAGCAGCATGTGGCGGGAGCTGTGAAGGTCAGGGAGCACTATATAGCTGCACAGATCACGAGCTGGACCTACAAACCACAACCTGAGGAAAAGTCCAGGTAACAAAGTACAGGATAAAAAGGATAAAGTTAGTCCTCCTTTGGGACTGAAAAGTGGTTTTTGTCTCTCATCTCTTGTGGAATTGCAGAGGCCAGGAGAGCTTTGGAGTGCAATCTGTTGATTTCAGAAAACTTGGTTGACTTTAACAGCATGATCTGAACTAGAGCCAGTGATATATTAGAAGCTCCTTTTTATTTGCTGCATTAGTGGATAGAATTATTTTTATGTTTTCAGAGCACTTCTGTTAA